ACTAATTACCGTTTGCAGGACCAGGAATACAGAGCCGCCATGCCTTTTCCACGAAGAACATTCAAGCGGCTGATTACATCTGGATTTAAAAAAAAATACAATTATCCAGTGAACAATAATTTCCAAATCCGGAAGAGACGATTAATCTGAAATCGATGAAATTACCTCTGAGAAAAAGACCGTGAGCAGAGGAAAGAGGAACCTCCATGAAATGTGGATGTTCAAGCTGTCCATTTCTGGAGAGATAATAAACAACGGCCACTCTCCGATCGGTTTTCAACTTGCCGTTCAGCGGTTCACTCCAAACTTTGGTTCTCTCAGGGGCTAATTTCGTCCCTCTGTTGATCTCTCCACACCTTCGTCAGCTGAAGCTCCGTCATTCTGCCGGATCTGGACTCCGAAACCGCCAATTGTTGATCTGTTCGCACTAATTGATGATCGTACAAGAGTAGTGAGAGTCAAAATCAGGTCCATTTTATCAGCAGTTTTTTCGGAATTTTGAGGTGTGATGAGAGAGAGAGGAGAGGAGAGAGAGAGAGAGTTAGGGATTTATATAGAAGAAGAAATGGGTAAGCGTGCAAATTATGTTATGGGGGTGTGTGTGTGTGAAAAGGGAAGGCGGGGTGTGGAGGGGAAGATTCAAATATTGATGCGGGAGACAACAGCTAACAAACAAACTTTTTTTTATCATACATTACATTTCTGCTCCTATCTTTTAGTTTTCAATTTCAGTACCTTTTTGGCATTTTCTCCAATATATACTTCTCCCATTTAATATTAATATTTATAACAAAATATTGATTAGTGATATCATTGTAATTATTCTTTTAAGTGTAGTTTTTGCAGAATTAAATTAATGATGAATTTTCTTCTGCCCTCTGCTTTTTATGAAAAAAAAGCAGAATCTTATAAATATGTTATTAAATAATTCACTTGTAAAACTAAGTTCACAGTTGGTCAAAAGAGTTGACTCCCACATTCCCACTCTTTAGTCTCACCTAACATTGACTATTGCCGACCCGTTAATTGCGTTCCTAAAACCATATTAAAAATGCTTTGAATGTGGGACCCATCTTATGCAGCTTGCGTTGACTGGCACTCTATCCTCCCCCACCGAGTCGCCGTCCACCCTTCAAACACACTGAGTCAAATTAATGAATGTTATTATCTCGAGTAACCAGAATTTCGCTATATTGCAAATTTCAAAAATTAAAATTAGTGTTCAGTAAGTCAAACCCCTATCAATGAATAATAATAAAATTCAATCACTCACTAATATATTTGCGAAAGTATTACTTCTATTTTATTAAAAACAATTTATGTTCTTTAGTTAGTTATATTTTATAAGGTTCACTAATGTAATATATGTTTTGATTTTTTTTTTTTTTTGTTGTGTTCGAAACAGAAAGCTGGAGTGAAATAGAAATACGGTTTTATCTTGTTTGATTCTCTTTATGGACGATTTTCTGTTAAGATTTGTATTCCATTTTTTTGATAATATCCAAGCCTGTGTAGGATCTTTCCAGTCTGTTTTGAGTTTGAAGATATAATAGTTCGTACATGTACAAATTAAAACTCCATAAATAAATAATACAGTCAGGACAAACAAAATTCTATTAGTTTAGCAAAATAATAACGAGTACATTTTCACGAAGTTGTGTCCAGAAGAAATTATTATTTAATCGAGATTTATCAATTTATTGAATACTCATTTATCGAAGTTCTATTGTATTTGATGTGGGCCAAAGAACTTAATTCAACAAATGTACTTGAATTATTCTAAGGGCTTATTGTATTTGATGTGGGCCAAAGAACTTAATTCAACAAATGTACTTGAATTATTCTAAGGGCTCAATACGAACCAACCTACAAAATTAAAGCCCAAAGATTTCAAGATCCACAAACATTCGATTTTGAGTAAACGAGATATAGTAAGGCCCATAAATGGGCTTTCTATGTTAATTCTGGCCAAAAAAAATGATATTTCAAGGGGCAAAGTGGTAAATTTATCTAGTTAATGCCTTTCTTCCTACCTAGATTTTTGTCAAAGAAGCATTTGGAATGAAGACAATATGCACAAGTGCCCCACATATGTCTCTATCTTATCTCCACCTTGTATTTAATATTTCATATAAAAATGAAACAAATTTGAAGTGTAGTGGCCATAGAAAATGGTGCCTTCCACGTCATTTTTGTTCCTTTTTTAGTGAATTATTTCAATGTTATACCCAGTGAATGTTACACCTGATATTTTTTTATCGTTGATCTACACATTAATATGTGTGTATTTGTGTACTAATTATTCATAATAAAAATCTATAAGGTTTATTTCACTTGATTTAGCATAATATAAACTATTTTTGCGACACTTTCAAACCCCACTTGCACCATCACAATTCACACCCCCTAAAGTAAGGAGCCACCACTCCCCATATAAAGTTTTATATTCTTATCGACAAGGTATTCATTATTCATCAATCTTTGATGAAGACAAATTTTGGAATTAATTTGTGATTTATATAATATAGGATTTGAATCTAGCTACAAATCTAAAAGAAAAGCAATTAAATAGGAGAGTAGAAAACAAGATTTTTCATTTTGTTCAATCTTAAAACTTAAAGAGTGCGCTTTAAATAGTACACATTTAGAATGATTAAACAATATATCACTAGGGAATTAAAGTTAAAAAAAAATAAAAAAAATCATGCATATCTATATAGTACTTATTTTTAGAAAATTATTATTTCTATTGAATTTAAGTGCCAGGACCGAATATTGCCAAGTCATAGCGAAACTAATACAATGATGCAATATCCCACTATTTTCTTAAAATGATGTTTAGACAGTGGTATCATTTTCAAATGATAATATATATTTATTTTTATATATTTCAGTGTCTGCCAATAAATTTTCTGCTTTTTGGTTTTTAGTGGTGCTCGTATTTATATATATATGGCAAATTTTGGCCACCCTTGGTAAGGGCCAATTATGAAAGAACCCTTCTTGTTTTGATAATTACAACTATCTCTTAACTGTGTATTTTCTTATGAAAAAACCCCTCATTTAGTAGGTAAATTTGACACCGTAGTGGTGGAAGTGTAAAAAATACATAGTTGAAAAGAGATTGTTGTAATTACTCAAATATGAGGGGACTTTCTGTAATTTGACCTTACTTTAGGGGGTTGGCAGTAGTTTGCCCATATATATATATATATATATATATATATATATATATATCAAGGGTGCAGATTCTACTGGATAAAACTAAAGAGAGACTAATTGATTCTTGAAAAGATGAAGATTCATCCTTTTTCTACAACTATATGACTAACTACAATGAATTTTCATTAAACTAATTTAATTTTTACTCTTACCCCCTATTTATAATTATAAAATGTCCCACTAAGTGTACCCCTAATGTTAATTGGTATAAGGTTAGCTGAAACAACCAAAAATGGAAACTACCGAATCCAAGTTGAGACTGAGGAATATGCTCATCCTATTATCTTCTATCACACACAGACACGCGCGCGTGAATATATTATGAATTAGATAAGCGAAGCCTTGATTAATCGAAGAAAATGGAACGCCACAAAAGCATGGTAAATGGTAAAATTTACAGAAAAAACTATAAAAATGAATAGCAAGTTGCGAAAGTTAAATCAACATATCATCCACTTAGAGCAACTCCAAGAGTAATGTGCAACCTATTTTGTAGATTTTTTACATAATTTCAGCCCAAAACTTGAGCTCCAACAACAAAATGGGTAAATGCAAAACTTGCCCAATTGTGATTTTGGTTTCTCAAATTTGAGAAACCAAAACTACTATTTAACAAATTATGTAAAGATAAAAAATAATAAATTTACCACTATCCATCCCTTTCAACACACACACACACACACACACACACACACACATATATATATATATATATATATATATATATATATATATATATATATATATATATATATATATATATATA